AAATTTCAACCTCAATTTTGACATATTTGTAATCTTCATTAAAAAATCCTTTAAAATGAGTACAAACACGACATATTTATCTTCAATATTAATGAAGTTATGGTCAACTTCCGGTTAAGAATGTCAACGTCAATTTTGACATATTTGTAATCGTCGTGAAAAATTCGTTAAAATGAGTCCAAACATGATACGTTTAATTCTAATATTAATGGAGATATAAGCAATTTCCGGTTTGAAATGTCAATGTCATTTTGACATATTCATAATTTTCATAAAACGTCTTAATATTTGTCACAAAAACAAAAATATAATAAAAAAAAATCAAAAATTAAGGTTGGTATTAATATTTAAAAATTAAATTGCTAACTTCGGGTTTAATGTTTTTTATTCTAACTTTTTTGTTTTTCGAGATAAGTGCGTCGTGTTTGTACTCATTTTAAAGGTTTTTTAATGAAGATGACGAATATGTCAAAATTGACGTTGACATTTCAAACCGGAAGTGATTGTATTTCCATTAATATTATAGTTAAATATGTCGAGTTCGGACTCATTTTAAAGGATTTTTTATGAAGTTGACAAATATGTCAAAATTAAAACTTTTTGGAGATAAATGTGTCAAGTTTGGACTCACTTTAAAGGTTATTTCATGAAGATTACGAATATAATAATAAAATTAAAGTTGACATTAACAACTGAAAGTTTTTTTCACGACTAAACCTACTTCTCGTTCTAGTTGTACTTCAATAAAAATATACTACATAGTAACATCTTATGCATAGAACTAACACTATTCTGAACAAATCTGAATATTTCAAGTTCTAGTTTATAATTTTAAGTTTAATAACTTTAATAACTTCTAACTACCCCATCTTTTGCCCAACGAGTGTAAGCGTTTATACTGAAAGATTAATATATCAGAAAATATATTAAGCAGATGGTAAAAGATGTGCTAATTATAAGTGAAAATGATAAGGGATGGTTTTTGTAAGCCCGTAATATCGGGATTGTTGAATAATGTGAACCATTTATAAAATTTCTCTTGCAGTTCTCTCCGGAGCAAAAGCGAACTATACACATTCATTATGCTAATACAATGTCTCGCGGTCTGGTGAATGGGGCCCAGCCATTTTGGGGGGGAAACTTTTACGACATGCGCCAAGCTAAGAAACTGAACAATTTACATAAAGACTGTCGATATTAATTCAGGAAGAAAAGGGCGGTCGGTGTAATCTTGGAGAAAAGTTTGTTGTCTCTGTTACGAGGGGTAATAAATCACATTTTTCTCGGAATTAGAGCGAGGGTAAATTAAGTAAGATTTGGATGTTGCTTCATCCAATTCTCAAAGAGAAATTTTCGGGCGAAACCGCGCGCGGTTATAACTCATGAAACGTTATATTTTACGTTTCGTTTATTGCCCGTTTTAAGTACGTAGTATCCCACTCAATTTACCATCCTATTGTGCAGGGGGCTCACATAAAGTTGCCCCAACCGAGGCTCGCCGTAGCCGTAACGGTACGCCGGACGATTTAGTGCTTTTCGGCAAAGATACAACTAGAGAAATGACCTGTATTCTACGCCATTGTCGGAGGGGGTTTCGAATAAATACGGGGCATAAATTCTTTCCTACGTTTCTAGTCGTTTCAAGAAGATATTTATTTATACTATTTATAAATAAAACGAAAATTTACATTTTCAAAACAATTACTAATCAAAGAGGAGTTGGAAAATTCATAAATTCAGCTCAACGTTTGCCGTCGCTGTTAGCTCCAATGTACAAGTGACAAATGTCCCAGCGTTTGGCGACAACTGGCCCGTTGGATTCCGGTACACGGACCGTATGCCCAACGGCACCATTCTATTTAATGAATTGTATTAACTGCGAGGCTTTCCCGGTGTCTCGTCACCGGGCCCCCGGGAACCCCCGAAACGTTCCGGACCACCCTTTAATAGCCGTCGAGCAATTTCACGGAATCGTCTTCGTGTCACCCCCCTTACCAAAATAGAGACCCAAAAACAAATATATCCTATTTGTTTGCATATAAATGTACACCCAACAAACGTACAAATTAAAATAAATCAATTTATAACCTGTGTATAGAACTTAGTCGCAACAACGAGATCACAGCCTGTTTAATCCGCAGCAAATGCACGGTGCAATGTACGAGGAACGTTGGTCTTATTCATCAACGCCCGATCGTTATCCGTAATCCAGACGCGCACTAGAACTCAATGTAGCGTTGCGGTTTGGCCTAATCTATACGAGCGCCGCGATTTCTCGTTGACATGGGCACAAAAGTCAAATCTTCCACGATAATAATTCTCTCGACCGAGGATCAACCCCAAAACCTGATTAAAACCACCATGCGTTCAGATAAATACTTCGGTTGACTAAATCTAACCCGAAAAAAAATTGTTGTTGTGTACGTGAAATGCTAATTCTATCTGAGGCGAAATAAATTGGGGTGTAGAGGAAATGGAAAGGGTGCGTACTGACCACTGGTTTGATATAGAGATATCCGGTTTGATGATTGAGGAAGTGGTCCCCTCGGTGCTTATCTTTGTATAAATATTCAAATTGAATGTGATCTCTTATTCAAAAATAAAATAGATCTCATCAAATTAAATTAAAATATAAATATTGTTAACATCATCATGTTTTACTCATACAGTTAACTAACTCCCTGTTAAATAACTCTATCAAATAAATAATACTCTGTTAACTAATCGTCTGTTAAGTAACCGCCTGTTAACTAACTTTTCGTTCAATAACCCTCTGTTAACTAACTCTCTGTTAATTAACCGTCTGTTAACTAATTCTCAGTTAATTAATTTCCAATTAACTCAACGAAGCTTTCTAAATGTCTTAAAAATTTGTTTTGACTATTAAATCACTGGAGTTATATCAATTTTTGTTGATTTAAGTTTCCTCGAATCTTGATATAGCCAAGTTGGTGTTGGTTTGGATCAATTATTCTCCCTTACCTCTATTTTATTTATCATACGTGTTCACGTAGTTGTACAAGATATGCGTCGGTCACGTCTCGAAGGCCCGAGGGTGCATGGAACCCAAATCTTCCATTTATGACGGACCTGTTTAATATTGCAGGGCGATAGAGGGCTGCGCACTATCTTGATATGGCGTCCCAAGAGCAAACACGGTCCCTGCGACGTTTGTTGTATGATTCCGCGCGTCGACGGCGGATTTCGTACGTTAAACCGCTTAGTTAGCATTATCCGTAGCCATAAATATTGAAAGAGGAAATTGAAGGGCGGTCCTAACTTCGTACCCGCCGTTTACCGGAACTCTAATGATTTATTATTAACGATTTATAAAGTAAATACGGTGTTGACTTGAACTCGTTGACTTTACTTTACTTTACGTTTTTTTCCTAAGCGATTGAGAGAGAGGAAATGGTTAGAGAAGAAAAAACCGACAGCCCCTTAAATCCTTCTTGAGTTCTTGTCGCGCGGGGGCGGTGAAACTCGCGAAAGTACGTAATCCCGACAATACGAAACTCGAGGATCAAGACGACGTGGTAGTAGGTGGGCACCATCTAGCGTAAAAACCGGGCGTCGCCATGAATATTTCAGTAGCAGACGGTTACGCGGCCGTCTCTGATTTGTTTATGAATACGGGATGAGACTCCTCAGGGCGTGTTAGAACAGCTTCTTGCGGAAATTTACGATATTACGATTTACGATTATAACATATGCATTTTCTAGTACACCCTAACGCAAATGATAATCAACGACGACGAAAAAAAATCACGTCTTAAAATCCCATATGTTTCAAACGCTTTAAATGCAGATATCCGAAATTAGAAAACTTTTCTTTTGCTTTTAAACGGGGGTAAACACCCCAGTTGGGATTAAAAGTTGCGACGATTGTCTCGGGACATCCCTACTTAATTATTCCGGTCCCAAGGGTGACGATCCCGCTTAAAATTCTTGGATTCTCACCTTGGATTAGCTTCAAACCTTTACGTCTTTAAAAGGAATTCTAGTTTAAGAGTTATTTTTGTGATGTCTCTAAGATAAAAATCGATGCATCCCTGCAGATTTTCTTTCGAAAAATTCACGGAGTGTGAAGTTTTCGTTCCTTGAGACGGATAAGGCCAGGTTTTAGTTCGTCTTATCGCCTGAACTTAACATCCCGACGGAGTAGTTTGAATGACACAATTTATCAAGGGAATAGGTATCTCCGGCTATCCTGGAGGCATACTCGTCTTGGACCATCCGAAACCATCCGCGTTCATAACGTTTTGCCATCGCGAAGAAGCGACGCTTTCAATCAATATTTAATAAGTGTAAGGGTGTAAATTTCTTCTTTGGGGGGGGACGTTTTCAGAGTCGGGTATCGAACGATACCGCCGCCCGCATCTCCTTTCATACATATTGACGCCGAACATTCCCCATACGGAGGCCTGAAATCCTGCCTATGACATTTGGATTCCATTTGTGTAAAACATCAAACCTGATTTTTCGCGTTTGGTTGGAAAGCGTGTATATCACTGTTACGTGGGGGGCATTCCAAAACGTCGTTGGCCTTTGTGGGATTTGAAAAAAAAAAAACTACCGACGTCGAAGGGTGTTCGATAAAAAAATTTTGAAAATCTTACGAATTAGATCTTGTATAAAACTAACACTTCCGCCATCAAAACATTAAAAACCTTAATTTGGAGTTAGATGTGTCCGATTTTTGTAGCTATATCTTCAGACGCACGGCTAAACAGGGTATTATTTATTTATTATAATTACTATAATTACTTTTTAAATACTGTCATTTGAAATATCTAGCCAACAAAAGATGGCACTAGTGCGAAATTACAAATATAAATTGCAGGCGTATATTCAAAGATTAATTTCATAAAAATAAATCGATAAACTGTGTTAAAATTTAAACTAGTAATTACATTTATAGTTCGCGTAACGATTTATTTAATTTTGAGACTGATTTATACCAATTGCTCTTGTAATCGTATTAGCCATAAAATGTAGCGTTCGAATATTGTGTTTATATATCAAATTAAAATTCAATACAATATAAACAACACATCTTAACCGAATCGTTTTGGGAATTCGAAATTCAGTCCAATCGAACTTTCGATGTAAATTTTAGCCGTCCCTGGGAATTATTACACACTTACGCTTTCCGCAAAGGCCGGATTTTCCGAGGGATCTTTATTCCGACGGCGTACGCCAAATCGCGCAAACTTCAGTTATTAGGAAAGAATTTGCGTGCGTTACGGCTCCGAACCACCGGGAACCTAAAGCCCTCTTCGCCGCATTTGAATAATTCCCACCCCATCTGGGATTTTCTAAACGCCCTGTTTTTCAGAATTGCCTTCCCTTTTGTTCTTTACGGAAACGTAAAGGATCAAAGAAAACAAAATTAAATTTTACTACAAAAATTATTTAAAGTCCGATACTAGTTTGTTGGTAACACAGCGTATCTGGAATATCCAGGGCCCAGTTTTGCCTAGATTAGACTTCAGAAAGCTCGGCAACAATGGGGGGAATTACGGTGTCGCCTCCCCTCTAACCGAAATAATCCGCGATACGGGGGGCCGTTTTCAGCCAGATAAATTATTATTGAATGCAGGTGATTGTGCTGGGTTCGCGAACCGGAAGTGGAAATCTCTATCCCCCCACCGCCGGTTATTGTTCGGTGTGTATTAATTGAGAAACCGCCTTGAACGTGAACGCGAACGTGACTGTGGCCCGCAACGGCGCGCATAATTTATTTGTCGTCGGATTAAACTTTTTATCATTAATTGCCACCGTTTTGTTCAACTTCCAAATACTAAGGCACGTAAAGCCGAGATAAATTTCCTGTTTTATCGTTACAACATCGAACCATGTTCGCTCCTTCAAGTGTAGTCCAACTTTACCTCAGAAAGCACTTTAAGTCATCGCTTGTGGCAACCGCAATCGCACCTGCGTTATGTACATTGCAAAAGCTAAAGTTCTACGTGGTTTCCAAGTTTCTAGTTACACCTAAAAAAATCAATTAAAAAACTTTAATAAAAACAAATTTATAATAAGTTAATGATGAAATGTCAAAATGACAGATCGCATTAGTATTGAATCAAAATTTATTTATTTAATTTTTTTTAAATAATGTAAATTTAAATACTAACCTTCAAAACAATCGTTATTTCAGGGTTTTCCGAATAATCCGATTAAATCCGGCGATTTGAAGAATTGTATAAAATTTTAAATCCATAAACATTAAGATTTTACGACTTATCTAGAATTAAAGAAATAAAATAATTTCATGAAAACTTATATGAATAGTTAGTAGTTGGGTGTATAAGTAGTTGTTAAAGTATCTTAATTTTGAATTGAAAGGGTTTCTTACCAAGTAATGAGACTTAAAAGCTGTCTTAAAAATGACAGTTGCTTTAGTGCTAATTAATACGTAGAGATGGCGCTAAACGTAGAAAAAATTTGTAAACATTTTAATTTAAACTTAAATTTTTTTAAATTAAAGTAAATTTAAATACTAACCGTCAAAACAATTATAATTTTAGGTTTTTGCAAATAACCCGATTAAATTGGGCGATTTCAAGGATTTAAGTAAAACTTTTCATCAGACGATGTTCATGTCAAAAAATAAAATAAATTCATAAAAAACTTGTACGATGTTTAAAATGATGTTTAACTACTTGTTATAAACAGTTAATTATTAAAGAATCTTACCAAATAATTCTTAATTAATGGCTTAAAAGCAGCCTTAAAAATGAGATGGTTTTTGTGCTGATTAATACGTAGAGATGGCGCTAAACCTAGAAAAATGTTGTAAACAATTTAATTTAAAATATAATTTTGTTTAATTTATTTTTAGTTAATGCAAATTTAAATACTAACTATCAAAACAATTATTATTATTGATTTTTTCTAATAATCTAATTAAATTGGGCGATTTTAAGGATTAAGTAAAATTTTTAATCTCACGATGTTCATGTCAGTTACTAAACAAGAATAAAATCACTTCAAAAAAACTTGTATGAATACTTGTTACAAGTTATTTATAATTAAAATGGTTTCTTACTAAGTAATTCTTAAATTAATACGTCCTAAAAGCAGATTAAAAAAATGACCGATCGCTTTAGTACCAATTAATACGTAGAGATGGCGCTAAACTTAGAAAAGTTCTTAATGATGTCATAAATGCTGCTTGGTAATTCCAAAAACATTTCAAACATTCCAGCAACAACGATGCGGATATCAGATAATATGCGCGTTAATTTTAGACTTGTCCACAATTTTCGCAGTGTCCCTGACATCGTCGACATGATAACAACAAAAACGATATTAATTTACGTCGTATTATGTGGTTTTATTGGGTATTCCGAACAAGTAAATACAATTCTTTTAATATAATTATTTTAATATAATTAATATAATTGTTTTAGAAGGTTAGAGTTAAAACGCAATATGGGAGTGTAAAGGGAAAAAATGTTTACACCGTTGGTAAAGGAAAAGCTTATGTGGCTTTCCAAGGTATTCCTTATGCTAAACCACCTTTGGGGGAGCTTAGATTTGCGGTAATTACTTAATTAAATGAATATGTCGTAATTTAAGTTTGTTTTTTTAGGCACCAGTTTCTTTTGATCGTTGGGATCATGTTTATGATGCGACTAAACCGAAAAGTACTTGCGTTGAGTTGTACGAAAATAAAGGAAATGAGGATTGCTTGTATTTAAATATTTTCACCCCGGTAAGATTAATTATTGTATCAAAATGATTTTTACATTAACATTTTTAGAACATAAATCGTTCTTTACCAATAATGATTTGGTTCCATGGAGGAGCTTTCGTTTTTATTTATGGGTCGCATACTCTAAATGGTGTTGATTATTTTATTGAGGAGGATGTAATCGTTGTGACGGTTCATTACAGGCTTGGAGTGTTTGGGTTTTTGAGTACTGAGGACGAAACGATTCCTGGAAATTTTGGATTGAAAGATCAATTAATGGCGGTTGAGTGGATCCATAAAAATATCCATCATTTTGGGGGTAACCCAAATAAAATAACTTTAGTTGGGCAAAGCGCGGGGGCTGTTTCAGCCCAATATTTAACGATGCATAAAAGATTGGAAGGAAAAATAAGCGGGATCATCCAACAAAGTGGTTCTGTTTTGGTTCCTTGGGCCTTATCGAGATATCCTAGGACAGGGGCGTACGTTCTTGGGGGCAAATTAGGAGTTTCAACAACTGACTCAACAATTTTGTTGAAAGAGTTAAGAAAAAAATCGACGGAGGAGTTGCGAAATGCCTCATTTAGTACTCACATGGAAGTTGTTTTTGGCGGTGGAACTTTTAATAGTTTGCTTTTTATCCCTGTTAGGGAACCCCCGCATAAAGGAAGTTATTTCAGTTCTATGGCGTTCGAAGATTTAAAGAGAGGCGAATTTAAGAGAATCCCAAAAATGATTGGGATTAATTCCTTGGAGGCGGCGTTCATGATTGGAGAATTTCAAGCTTTTAATAAGTATTACCAAAATTATGATCAAAATATAAGGAGGTACCTCCCAAACGATTTAAATTCAAGAAATGAACTCGCAGCGAAATTAATTAAAGACCATTACATAGGAAATCATAGTTTTACCTCGAATATATCAAACACGGTTCATGTAAAATCGAATTAATCTTAAACAAGTAGGGGTTTTTTAATTTATTTAATTTTAGTTTGCAAGTGATGACCAATTCGTTAGACCCATCTTAAAAGATGTTTACTTAGCATCCCCATTCGCTAAAACTTATCTTTATCACTTCACTTATCAAGGGAATTTGGGGAAAAGAAATCGAACGTTAAATGGGGTCGAACATGGCGAAGAACTCGAATATTTATTCTACGGGAAACACCAAGGAAATATCGATAACGACGATAAAAAGATGCGCGAAAAATTAGTTAAATTATGGTGCAATTTCATAAAAACTAGGTAAGAAATAACCCCAAAAAAAAAAGATTTTAATCGAATTAAATTATTTTAGCAATCCAACCCCATCAAAAGACGACCTATTTAACAATCAAATTTGGGAACCTGTAAACGCAGACACCGACCACACCACGTGCTTTGAAATCGATAAAAAAATCAATATCATCGAAAACCCACATCGTGAAGACGTCGAATTTTGGGAAAAAATTTATTCTGAATATGGAAACAGACCTTTTGATACCTATTAATTAATTTTTGCACTTTAATAATTTAATTTAAATAAATGAACTTAAGATGTAAAAATAATCTTCCCTGTCGTACAGAACCCATTGAATCTGTATGAATAAAATCTAAACTTTTTCGCACCGGCTTCAATCTTCATTAGGGCGATAAAAAGTCCGCGTTGAAAGCGAAAGTTTTCTCTTCACAAAACGAAAGGAAACTAAGTGAAGGGAGCCTTTTAACCCCCGCGCATTTGACCTTTTCTAAGGCGAGGAGTAAACCTTAGGGCGCGTTTTACGGTTTTTGGGGAACCTCCAATCGAAATGGACTCGGTTTTAATTTAATTAGCTCTTTTTTACTCTCTAAAATTTCCAACGCTAGATATTCAAGTAGATTCTTATCCCAATAAGGTTTTACGGTTAGATATTTATCATTAATTTCATTACGTTAATCAATTAGTTGCTTTACTTTTTAACATCATCCTTTATTGAAAGCCAAAACGCATTAATTAAGAAAACTATCACGATTTAAGAGATAAAATTTGTTCAGGTTATAAAGAAACGTTTCTGCTTGGATTATATAAAATTATAAGTTTCTCGGATGACGATTCTTTTTGATATAAGGCTTTAAAAAGCACCTACTTGGTTTGGAATTTGATAAAGTGTGGAAGGTACGATTTTTTGAATACATCTTTGCGATTAAACTTAAATTAGAACTAACACTAGCAGTATCACTAGAACTAACACTAGATCTAGAACTAGAAACATTCGAATTTAGCCGCACGTCTCTCAAGACGGCTAAACTCGAATGATTCTAGTTCTAAGTCTAGTGTTAGTTCTACTTTTAGTTCAATAAAAATATACAACAATCTGACGCTTAATAACAATTGGACCGCGTTATGCATCACTTGACTAAGCGACCATTGTTGAGAAAAACGGGATTTTCGTTTTCATCTCTGTAAAAATATGACTTCTCAGAATAGACAGAATTTAAGTCTAACTAATTTCAGCCCTTGGCCATCTTCAGAGACTCTACAAATAGATTAACGCTCTTTTTTGAACAAAAGAAATATTAAGAAACATTCATATGGCTTAAAAATCGACGATTTTTTTTAATCAATGCGAAATGACCCAAAAAACGAGATAAGTTTATTTTTAAACGAGATAAGTTATTTTAATTCTCTATACCTGTCAATGTCAAATTTTTAGGGATTTTATTGGTATTACCAACTGCAGCTAACTTTACGTCAAATTCTAAAAAAAAAATAACCTCAAAAATGATCGATTTCATTAAAATTTTAACAAAATTAATTAAACATAACTCGATATCACTTTCTAGCACATCAAATTTCTAATTTTAGTTTTATATTTCTAACACAAACTAAGTTAAATACATTTTTTTTAATTAAAACGTCAAAATACATGTCATTTGAAAGTGAGGTTAGGTTATGTTATTAAAGTGAGGTTACGAATCTTCAACATCATTTTCGAGTACCAACACGGCCGTTTTCAGACGCTACAACATTAAGAACCTTCAGTTCTTGGGGGCGGCCGACGTCTTCGAAGTCGGCCGAGTTCACTTTTTGTNACATGATACGTTTAATTCCAATATTACTCGAGATATAAGCAACTTCCGGTGTGAAATGTCAATATCAATTTGACATATTATTAATTTTTATAAAATGTCTTAATATTTGTCACAAAAACAAAAATATAATAAAAAAAATCAAAAATTAAGGTTGGTATCAATATTTAAAAATTAAATTGCTATCTTCATTGTTGCTAACTTCGGGTTTAATGTTTTTTGTTCTAACTTTTTTGTTTTTTGAGATAAGTACGTCATCTTTGGGCTCATTTTAAAGGTTATTTTATGAAGATTACGAATATAATTATAAAATTAAAGTTGACATTGACAACTGAAAGTTTTTTCATGACTAAACCCGAATGTTTCTAGTTCTCGTTCTAGTTTTAGTCCCACTTCTCTCAAGACGGCTAAACCCAATACTTTTCTAGGTGTAGTGTTAGTTCTAGTGATAGTGCTAGTATTAGTTCTGGTCTTTGAGAGTTATTGATAATTTTAAAAAATTAGAAAATTAATAACTTTAGAAATTACTTTAACAATATTAAAAAATTCGTATCTCCAAAACTAATTGAGATATCTTCATCAAATAAGAGGCATTTTAAAGCAAATTTAATTTAAATTCACCACACCAAAAATCTTTTTTTTTTTCTTTAGAGAGGGCCAATTAAAAGAATCAATATTATTCTTAAGAAACGGAAACCCATATTTACTTTTATTTAATACACCGCATTTATTTTTAGCCTTATCTAGATTGCTCTCAATTCACACCTACTAAAAAAAATCGAAAAGAAGATAACGTATCCAAGCTCCTCAACGGGAACCGTGAAGAAAATGGTCCCATAAAGTTGAAACCCGCTAAAAAAAAAGTATAAATTCCAATATTTGGACAGGGGGTCCCATTCACTAACGCTAGAAAACTCGAATAGGCTTTTAAAACTGGCCTATTCGAGCTGTTAACATAAATAATGCCTACGAGAGAACGCTAAGGCAAAAAGAAACCGTTTGCCCCCTCAAAAAAATTTTTTTTTCGCTTTGAAAAGGTACCGTAGGCGGAGTTAACATCTGCTTCTTAGGGGAACTAGGTAATTGTTACCTGTGAAGAGGTGTTAAATTTTAAACGTTATTTTTCTCACAGATTGTTGATTTAGTATGAGATTTTTTTTAAATTAATCAAGATTTTTAAGGATTGCGTTATCAAAATATTGAATAATGCTTAACATATAGGAGTATTGAGGCAAATTGAATTGGTTCTCCACTCGAGTTAAGAGAGGATAAGCAGGTAAACCATTATATTATTCTAAAGGGAAGAATTTTAAAAGAATTCTAAAGGAGCTTTAATACTAGTTTTTGAAAGAATTCAATGGATGTAATAAATCGTTAGCGAACAATAAGATTTTTGATTTGCTACTTACCCATTATTTTGAGGTACTTCAACCTTGAGGCCAGACATACAGGTGTCACAATATCCACAAGTTTGCTCTCTCTCTCGTTGGTGATCAAATTTCAAGTCACTTCAAGTTTCTCTCCTGGTATTGCCAGGAGCGTGCCGCCGGCAATAGGGATGCGTGCGCTCATCCCATTGGAACCCGGGTTGCAGCCGAACTCTTCTGCTTCAGGCAGTCGACCGATGTTCGCAGAACGCGACGCTTCGTAAGCTTTTCAGCACGAACCACCAAGAACACGCGTGCTGAAAAAAAAAAGTTTATAAAACATTTCATTTAATCGGTGATGATGTGATGTTTTTCGAGACACTTAAAATTTAAAGATGATGAGAACTTGGTTGTAATGATTTTATGATATTTTGTGAGTTTGGGACGTTTTGGGTTTGATGAGTTGAAAGGGTGATCAAGATGAGGAAGATAAAAGAGTATCTACTCTTAATTGTTATTGGTTGGTTTAACCACGTCTCTACAATATCAGGTAAATGATTTAAATTAAAATTCTATTTCTACCATAACACAACATACTTCCTGCGCCTACCATGCCGAATAATTGCCGTCGAATTTTACGATCGCAATAATTTTTATGGCGCAATCAAAAACGTTCCGCTCGAAAATTAATAAATTTAACATCTCAAACATCCGCCGCAACGATATCCCCCCGCAAAAGTCGTTAAGAAACACACCATCGAAAAAGGAGTGCTTCTTTCTCGAGCACTTCGGAGCATTAATAAATGTCCCGGTTCGCGCCGAAACGGGGCTTAGAAACTCGCCAGATAAACGACTCAATGAAAGCACTTCCGGTTCTCGCCCCTCAACAGATGGCGCCCGCTAGATCGCGCGATCTACTTTATCGTACACTCAGATCGCCTATTTAGCATTTCCTTTTCCCTATTTACTCTCGAGAACTCAATAACGCAGCAGAATGGGACCCTTATTGTTCGCTGATGACGGTGTTTAAACCCTTGTACCTTCACTGTTTCGAGGGTAAAGCACTTATTAACCGTCGCAAAAGCTTTTATTATTATTAAACAATGAAGAAAAATTTTTTATAAAAAGCTTTAAAAGGGAGATAATTAAAAAAAAATTATTTGGAAATATAAACACGTGATGGATCCAACTTGGTGCGTCGAAAATGCTCAAAGGGAATCGGGGGTGCTTCGATAATGTTGTTACCTTAATGAAAATTCCATTGTGCTGTCGAACCCGGTGTTTTCTCTGCGGAAATTCGAGCCGGAAAGGTGGTTAAAATTTAAATAAGGCCCATTCCGGTTCTATCTCGGATGGGATCTTTTTTTGGGGGATCTTAAAAAAGCTTCGTCGCGAAACGATACGAAACGAAAAGGAGGAAATAAAAAATACATAGAAATATAAATACCCGGAGAAATTAAAATTCACACTTGAAGCCGTTTAAATGTAAAGTAAACGGAAGTTAAGGACTTTTTTTTTAAATTGGGTTTTTAAAGGTTTTCTAATCTCGTGGGTAATTATAAAATAATAAAGAAAATTTTTGTTTATAATTATTATTTAAAAATCCATTGAGTTTCTAAATTGACGCCTCGGCTGGATGCAACCTTGGGTAAACTTAATTAAGCCGAGGTCGCTTGCGGCCGAGGCAGTGCTATTAATAACATATCAACCCAAAAGTGATTACCAGCTACTAAAATCAGCGTTTGGAGTAAACTTAGAGCGGAAAATCTGGATTAAGCCGAGGTCGCTTGCGGCCGAGGCAGTGCTATTGACACCAAATCAACCCAAAAATGATTACCAGCTACTAAAATCAACGCTTGGAGTAAGCTTAGAACGGAAAATCTGTATTTGCAAGATTAAGCCGAGGTCGCTTGCGGCCGAGGCAGTGCTATTGACACCAAATCAACCCAAAAATGATTACCAGCTACTAAAATCAACGCTTGGAGTAAGCTTAGAACGGAAAATCTGTATTTGCAAGATTAAGCCGAGGTCGCTTGCGGCCGAGGCAGTGCTATTGACACCAAATCAACCCAAAAATGATTACCAGCTACTAAAATCAACGCTTGGAGTAAGCTTAGAACGGAAAATCTGTATTTGCAAGATTAAGCCGAGGTCGCTTGCGGCCGAGGCAGTGCTATTGACACCAAATCAACCCAAAAATGATTACCAGCTACTAAAATCAACGCTTGGAGTAAGCTTAGAACGGAAAATCTGTATTTGCAAGATTAAGCCGAGGTCGCTTGCGGCCGAGGCAGTGCTATTGACACCAAATCAACCCAAAAATGATTACCAGCTACTAAAATCAACGCTTGGAGTAAGCTTAGAACGGAAAATCTGTATTTGCAAGATTAAGCCGAGGTCGCTTGCGGCCGAGGCAGTGCTATTGATACCATATCAACCTAAAATTGATTACCAGCTACTAAAATCAACGCATGGAGTAAGTTTAGAGCAGAAAATCTGGATTAAGCCAAGGTCGCTTGCGGCCGAGGCAGTGCTATTGATACCAAATCAACACAAAAGTGATTACCAGCTACTAAAATCAACGCATGGAGTAAGCTTAGAGCAGAAAATCTGGATTAAGCCAAGGTCGCTTGCGGCCGAGGCAGTGCTATTGATACCAAATCAACACAAAAGTGATTACCAGCTACTAAAATCAACGCATGGAGTAAGCTTAGAGCAGAAAATCTGGATTAAGCCAAGGTCGCTTGCGGCCGAGGCAGTGCTATTGATACCAAATCAACACAAAAGTGATTACCAGCTACTAAAATCAACACTTGGAGTAAACTTAGAGCGGAAAATCTATCTTCGCAAGATTAAGCCGAAGTCGCTTGCGGCCGAGGCACTGCTATTGATACCATATCAACCTAAAATTGATTACTATCTACTAACATCAGCGCCTCAAACGACTTCGTATAAACTTAGAATGGAAAATCTATGTTTTCGTTTAATCAAGCCGCGGTCACTTGCGGCTGAGGCAGTCCTATTGATACCATACTACATCCAAATTTTATTATCACGTACTAACACCAACTCAAAATTGGTTACCAATAATAACAACAGCGCTTCGACCTCAAGAAACCTCAGGTAAAGTTAGGAGGGAGAATCAGAGTCTCAGTCTGATTAAGACGAGACCGCTAGGAGCCGAGGCAGTGCTATTGATAACATATTAATTTTTAACCGAACACATACTAACATCATCGCCTCGGCTTAACTCAAAACGTAGACTATATGATTAAACCGAGGTCACTTACGGTCGAGTCTCTATAATATATTATACAGTTCGATTTAGTGTCGGTGTAGTGTAAAGTGCTGATAGCTCGGGCGCAAGCGACCTCGGCTAAACATAAGTTGCAAGATGTCTAATACCACTTGATTAAGCCAAGGCATTGCAATTAATATCATACCAACCCAAAACTGATTAAATCAGTAAAAAATAATTATATTACAATACCTCATTTACGTTAAAATGAGAACTTTTATTTCCACCCTGTATTTAAAATAATTCTCAAATCCGTTTTCTATTTAATCAGGGCTCTTGTATATGTAACGTTTCTCGCACAATTCCCGTCGTCCGAGGTATAAATTTCAACGCAAACTTCCTCTCTCGGCTTATCTGCATCGGCAAACAGTGTTGAATTAAACAAAGCTGGGCACGCGAAGGATTAGTTAGCGGCAAGATGAAAAATTAAGATAACCCCGAGTGAAGGATTGCGCGCGTTACAACTCCAAGGCACTTCTCGTTTCTCCGCTTTTAATTGAGCTAGAGAAAAAAGTTATTATCTTAAAAAGAAGAAATCGTGAACGACACGAATCGAAACGAAAACGTTTTTTTTGGGATTTTCGGCACGTTTCTGTTCGATCTAAGTTTTCTATAGGGAATGGTTTTTGGGGGTTCCATTGAAAATTAGGGTCGAATTGCAATTAGGGTCTCTTTGGAAATGTAATGCGTTATCGTTACGGTTCCAAGTTTATTAAAAAGTTTGTCAATCTCGGGTTACATACCCCAAATCGGTGTACCCTAATTTATGTTTTTTCTTCGATCATAATTTAATTTCGATGCGTCATACCTAATTTATCCATATTCGGAATTTAATCATCTAGTGCTCAAATCAATTACTAGAGATTGCAATTTCAATTATCAGCGTGTATATATTGCAAACTCGTCGGTTAATTTACTAAATTAAAAAGCTACATAATCAAACTGGATTAAATTCTCTTTGATTTTATATACGAGGTTCTCTCCATCGAGATGTTTCAGTCTGAGAAAATTGATAAATAAACATAGGCTTTTTAGTATAAACATCGTTTAATTTTGATAACCTTTTATAAAGTTGGTTTATTTTGGTTTTATGTTCACATGATTCGAGAATTCAGGGTTTTAATAATAATCCGTTTTATTATCGTGATCCAATATCGTTAATTAGGTTCATATCAAATAACGAAAAATAAAATTTGTCCACAAAATCCTTACTTTTCCCTCAAAAGCCTCGTGTACTTGTTAGTTCTCGTCGGGAGCTTAACGAAAGCTCAGTGTAATTAACTAATTGAATTTGGATCTCCCCTTCTATAGACACGTAGAAGACCTCACCTTTTTAACTTTTTGTGTTTTTCTGTTCATTAAATGATGAAGTAATCTAATTAAAATTAATAGAGTTTGAAATTATTTTTAAAATGTTGAATGTGGAAATCATATCATCATATCTCTTCTATTTGGAGGAATTCAAAAATGATTTTTATCTTAAATTAAAGTATGAAGTGTTTTCTTTAAGACTGTGTATAATAAAGTATTGGTTCGATAAAAAAATTATTGAGAAAAACATTTTTTAAGAAAATACTGTAAATTAACTAGATTAGGAGGCATCTTTAAATATTTAAAATTCAAAAAATCATATCTCTTTTATTTGGAGGAATTCATCAATGATTTTTATCTTAAATTAAAGTATAAATTGTTTACTTTAAGACGGTGTATAATAATGTATGGGTTGGATAACAAAATTATTGAGAAAATATTTGTTAAAGAAAACGCTGTTAAAAATTAGAAAATTCAAAAAATCATATCTCCTTTATTTGATGTATAGGGAATATTTTATGAAGGAAACTGTGTTACGCAAAGGTCAGCAGCTGGTGGGAGGTTTTACCCCTTGGGGGATGGCGACCCCATAGTGCGGGGTACTTATGCTAAAGAAGAGCTTGGACCACCTGGCGTTTGGTCCCTTTCTACACGATTTTGATGACAGGGTCAGATTACTATCCAAGTCCTCGCTTTTGCATATTTCTAACGTGTTAACATGTGTAAAACAGTTTTGTTACGATAAATTACAAATTCTTTTTTTTTTTAATTTCATTTTGTGTATAAACGTATGTGGTCTATTAATAATCGTGTTTTAAAAACTCAACACGTGTGTTTGGTGAGGAAGGGTTCGGTTTCAAAAGAGAACCGAAAACGATCTGACAGGGCCCATTAAATTAGGCGACAAGAAATTATACTGGTTCCTTTTTTTTGCTTCTAAA